ACAAGCTTTCATATTAATAAGGTTAAATTTTTATAAAAATAACGACATTTAGTATTACATGATTAAAAGGCAGAACACAAATTTTTTTGGAAACAACTATAAGTCTAATATATTTTTGGTAATTGATTTTTCTTCTGTGTTGTTTTTCAATCTTTCATATTAGGAAATATGCAATTTAGAAATCAACATTTCATAATTTCATAATTGTCATTTATAATTTTTCTGGTTAAATTTAGAGTAGTTGTCAACTGAAATTGGCAAAGTTGCTTTTTCTTGTAAGATATATATATATACTTATTCATTATATTTACTATGTTACGAAAAGGCTAGTGCTGGACATATGCAGGGAAAAGTGACCCAAATTTTATAAAAAGGCCAAGGCCCAAATCAAAGTGGTAACCGTTGTAAAAGGTTAAAGGGCCGAAAACAAAATTGTCCAAAATAGCTTAAACTTATTTTAAACGCCTAAAACTGAGAATAGATCGTCCCGAACAGCTAAAATCGGAAATAAATAGTCCAAATGATAGCGTAAATTACTTACAGGACGTAAAGCGCAAAAGGAATTAACGAAAATGGCCTTAGTTAATTAAATGGCATAAGGCCCATTAGGCCTAAATCAGTCCCAATTATGCTAAAAAATTCTAAGGCCCAACTAAATATGACCCCTAAACTTGAATTTAATCAAAACCCAAACCAATTACTTGAATTATATGACATTAAGTTAGTTTAAATACTTATTAAGCAATTATATAGCTTCAATTCAGACCAAGCAGCATTCAATTTAATTAAATTACCAAGCAATGTATAATTGCTTAAGATTTATTAAGTTAGTTTAAACTTTGTTGTTCGTAGGCTAATTGTTTTTTGTGGGTGGTGGGAGAGCTGTGGGATGTTGGGCCGCAATTGGAAGAGCCTTTGATTTTTGGACCTTAAACCGAGTGAAGGCCCGAGAGCGTAGTAGACACAAGCGGATTTCTGGAAATAAAAGTTCGACCCATGTTTTTGAATTTAAAAAAAAAAAAAGGCAAACATGGGTCCGTTGCGTATGAACGACGCTGCGCTTAACGGTTATATGCTCGCACCAAAGAAGATAAATACAGAGAGAGAGAGAGAGAGAGAGAGAGAGAGAGTTTTTTCTGTCGAGATAGAGAGAAAGAAAATGGAGAAGCCAATGGGAACATCGGCAATGGATGCTTTCAAAAGCTTGAGAAAGTTGGCGAGGGTACATACAGGAAGGTTTACAGGGTGATGGAGAAGGCTACCCGTTGTGAGGTAACAACCCTATTTTGTCTCTCTCCGCTTGATTTCCTTTTCCCTTTTCCTCTTTCTTGTCAGATCTGCGTTGATTTGCTTTTTCTAGAGGTTCTCGGTTTCTTTGATTTTGAGGAACTTCTTATGTTCTTGGTATTCCTAAGAAACGTTTCTTTAAGATCTTGGGCGATTGGTTCTGACACCCACTCTTCCCAGCGAAAATCTTGTATGTGCGTCTTACAACATAAGCCCTAGAGTTCCTAAATGATACTTTGCCTTGAGATTTTTATTTTCTTACCACATATTTTTTCGTTTTATTTTATTAATTGAAGGGTT